AATAGTATGAACAACATAATAGTATAAACAACATAATAGTGTGCGCAACATGATAGTATAAACAGCATAATAATATGAGCAACATAATAGTTTGAAGAGAGCGTTTGTTGAAAGTCAGAAAGAAAGAGACAAGAAAAGAAGAAAAGTTCTAACTGCTATTTCCCACTCTGTATTTCCCCAGGTCATTTGGCATCCTACTCTGGGAGGTGTTTTCACTTGGCCACATTCCGTACCCAGGGAATACCAATGAAGGTGTAATGTCCCTGGTCACTCAAGGAGGGCGCCTGGACCCACCAGAAGGATGCCCATCAGCTGTGTAAGACGTCCTTGATTTGCTTTCACAAAGTTTCGAAAAGAAAATCCAGTGAATTTTGTTGTGGGCTAAGAGAAACGAGGGGGGAGGTGTGAATGAGGAAAGAGAAGAGAGAGAGAGAGAGAGAAAGAGAGAGAGAGAGAGAGAGAGAGAGAGAGAGAGAGAGAGAGAGAGAGAGAGAGAGAGGGTGGTGGTGTAGAAAAAGAGAGAGAGAGAGAGAGAGAGTGTGTGTGTGTGTGTGTGTGTGTGTGTGTGTGTGTGTGTGTGTGTGTGTGTGTGTGTGTGTATGTGTGCGAGACAGAGAGAGAGAGAGACAGAGAGAGAGAGAGAGACACAGAGAGAGAGATAAAGAGGCAGGAAAGAAAGAGGCAGACGGACAGACAGACAGACAAATAGACAGACAGACAGACAGACTTTGTGGTGATATACAGGTTTTTGTCGTCCTTTTATGGCCTTAATTAATAAGAAGAATTAAACCAAGACGTGTGGAACCGAACCCTAAATCTTGTATATATTGGTCACATTTATTCAAAACATTTTCCTAAGAAATCACATGAGAGAACTGTTAATTCAAATAATCGTATACAGTCGTAACTATCCAGGATGGCCGCCCAATGTTGAGGAGAAAAGTGGGTGTCTTAAACGGGCGGATGTCATGTGCATATTGTATCATTTTAGAAGCGCAAGGAGGGAAATGGGAAGTGGTTATTGATACAGGAGAATATCTTGGACAGGACCCAAAGGTCTAGAAAGGAGTAGATCTGATCACACAAACTCTATGAAATCTTAAATGGACTCGTAAAAATTCCAGATTGAACATCTAACTCATCAAACAATAAGCATATCTCAAAAGCGGATGGTTGGAAGACGCAACTGATTGGTCCTGTTTCTTTCCTTTACTTCTTTTGTTTATATCTCTGTTTTGCACATTTCTTGCACGTAATGACAGTTACTGAGTTTTTCATTATGCTTTTGTTTAGTCAAACTATAGACTTATAATCTTAAACTATAAACTGTTATGGCCGCCGCTTTTTGCTCAAAATATAGACTTCGATCCGAAGCGTGCCCGCCACAGATGGCACCAATGCGCCCAAATATAGGACAAAAGTGTTGCCTGTGTGCGTGGCCCTCCAATCCCCCCCCCCCCCCCCCCCCCCCCATTCCCTTAAAACTTGTTTTTTACCATTCTCTTACTGTTTCAAGCTTAAATTTTGTCAAATGGCGCGCCCCTGAGGGAACCGGAAAAACGTGAGAGTTCACGGTCTATGATATTATTTACCTCAAGTCTATGACAGTCAAACAAACGGATGGCTGAATTACTAAGAACATGATCATTTATTCTTCTCTGTCAGGTTTGACATCATGGCCTCCTGCTGGAGTGCCCTGCCAGAGGGCAGACCGACCTTCTCCCTGATCATCTCCAGTTTAGAGAAAACTCTACAGGTAACATCTTGGTCCTATTGTTTAAGATATTGTTTTTTCAATAACGGTGTTTTTACGCCCCCATCGACACAACTTCGATCATTAGGGAGGCAGGCTTATGTCATTGCTTGTCAGGGCCAACCCAGACTGAGATGGATAAAACAAAACCAACAGAAAAAATCGAGGTAAATCTTACTCAACATCATTACTGTCTTTCCAGCATTTTTTGCTAAGTCACTCATATTTTTATCATTGAAGTTTCTTTATATTTTAGTTTTGTTCTGCCACAAGTATTCTTATTCAAAGTTATTAACGGTGAAGAATTTCATCAGCACACATACACACACACACTCTCTCTCTCTCTCTCTCTCTCTCTCCCTCTCTCTCTCTCTCTCTCTCTCTCTCTCTCTCTCTCTCTCTCTCTCTCTC